ATCCACAGTCCTCGTGTTGGACAAGCATTACCTCTTAGTCCTCGTGTTGGACATGCATAGCTATTTTAATCCTCGTGCTGGATATACATTATCACCCGGTCCATGCGTTGGACAACGGTCACATCCGGTCCATGCGTTGGACAACCCTTGCATCGGACATGGTTCTTCTTCCTGCGTGTGATTATTGTACCACATTTCACAACATACTGATTATGCAAATTTTGTACCACACTTATGAAGGTATTGACACAATATTTATGTAATAAATATTGTGATAGTTACGTGGACTATATCACCACACTGTAATTATGCTCTGGTGTTTGCTGTATTTCTTTTATTATTATTTCTGTACTAGAACCTCGGGTTTGGTGTTTAGAGATTTACAATTTGAGATACAAGGTATATACATGAGGGTTTCCTTGTTTGGATTATTTCGCTCGACGTACTTATGCTCGTGTTGTAAATTTCTAAATACTAAAACCCTCTTTAGTAGGATCAATGATTTTAGATCTATTATATATATTATCTGTATTTTGTTATACAACGAGCCCTTTTCCCTTGGGGTTGGTTGTGATGTTACTCGCTAGCACTTTGACGCTCGTTGTCCCTCCCCTTTCAGGTCACGAGCCAGGAGCACGGAGAGCCGCAAGTTGATAGCGGACTACATTAGTGTTCAGTTTTACTTTCTAGCTATGTATTATTTTCTTTGGGCTCCACTGTAGTGAGGTTAGACATTTGAGGGTATTATTCTAGAAATTGTAAAGGCTGTGAGCCTTATCTCTTTATCGTCAGATATTTGTATTTGAGACCTGTTGAGTATTTCAGTTTATCTACTCAGATCTTGACTATGTATTTCTGGATTGTTGGATGATGAGATATTTATGTGACTATTATCATTTCATCAGTATTCCTCGTAATGTCTTTTACCTGTTTTGTACCTACACCAGTTGTTGACTCTACTAGATAGATGTTAATTGTGATGGTGAAACATGTTATTGCACGGTGTGGTGCATAGCAGGTTTGACATCCTAGGTTTCACCTCGGACTGCAGCCTTGTGTGAACCCAGGGGCGTCACAAGTGGTATCAGAGCTCTAGTTCCAGTATCCTTAGGATCATCCTGTGTCGAGTCGTGGAGCTAGGGTAGAGTTTCCTAGGATTCATGTATAGAGTCCGTAAGGATTTCCTAGTATGAGTGAGGACGATATATGCGTATATCTCAAAATTTGAGAAAATTTTTTTTATGACAACTATTTTTATATAAGTTTAAAGTATTAGTGCAATACTATATGTTGTGAAAATATTATTGTGATATGCTATTTATAGAAGTCTATTTTGACTCATAAACTCTTATTTTATTATGATCAGAGAGATGGCAGGACGTGGTAGACCTCGTACCAGACGAGCTACCCAGGCGGAGTTACAACAGAATCCATCAGAGCAGCAGCCAGCTCAGTCCGAGCCTCAGCAGGCACCACCAGAGCCGCAGCAGGCTCCTCAGTACTTGGTGGATCTTATGGCTCCTCTCATTGCCAGGATGACGGCCATTGAGGACTTGGTGACGACTCATATAGCACCACGGACACCGCCACCACCGGTAGCACAGCAGCAGGGGATACCTGCCGTTCCTATCAGAGAGAGAGACCCCCAGTGGTCACGCCTGCAGCCATTCCCCTAGTAGTTCCAGACAGGACCATCGAGCAGGAGACTTGGCTCCGTAGGGTTGAGAGGTACCAGAAGATGAGGGCACCCGAGTTCCAGGGATCACCAGACCCTCTTGCAGCCCATAAGTGGAAGGAGGATGTGGGCAATATTCTTGACATACTTAGTGTGGGCTCAGTTCAGAAGCAGAGATCGGCATCCTACAGTCTGAAGGGTGATGCCGGGAGATGGTACCGACTGTAGTTTACTCCAGAGCAGAGCATGACTCTCACGTGGGAGGACTTCATATATTTCTTTGATGGACAGTACATTTCTTCTGCAGCACGGACCGGAAAGGAGCTCGAGTTGTCCCGGTTGACCCAGGGGGATATGACCGTGGCAGATTTTGAGAGCAAGTTCATGGAGCTGTTGCATTTCACAGGCATGTGGCAGACAGGAGAGCGTCAGGCTCAGATGTTCTTGGCTGGGCTTAGCCCTAATCATCTCCGACGGTACCTCGTGTCTAGGAGATTTTATTCAGTCAGGGAGGTAGCTGAGGCTGCCACTTCTCAGGAGATTGAGACTTCTATGTTCCAGAAAGACAAGGAAGGGAAAGCTAAGACCGGACCGAGTGGGGACAAGGGCAAGAACAAGAGAGGTTTTTCTGGACATCAGCAGCAGCATCATGGCCCTTATAAAAGGGGACCCCAGCAGGATCAGAGAGCGCATTAGCAGCGCAAGTTTCAGGGATCTTGTTTTAACTGTCACAAAGTCGAGCACAAGGCATCAGAGTGCCACAGCGCACCAGCAGGAGCCCAGCAGGGCAAAGGTCCGAACCACCACCAGCAGCAGCGCCAGCAGGGTAGAGGTCAGGGCCAGCAGAACAGGCTTGAGGCACCACCAGCAGCTCAGAGGACTGAGGGACAGATTCGGGCAGTTCAGGATGTTCCCTAGGGACAGATTATACCATATTCTCCAGCACCATCAGCAGAGCAGTCCTCAGCCACGGGCAAGGTATATGCAGTGGTTCCCCGTGATCATAGCGCCAGCGGAGCTGTAGTGGAGGGTACGTTCTTTGTGAACTCTCTTCCCGCCCGTATTCTTTTCGATTCGGGAGCCTCACATTCTTTCATATCGCATGCATTTATGGCCAGACTCCAGCTCGTAGCTCAGCCACTAGACACCCCTCTATCTGTTTCCACCCCTTTAGGTGAGGTATCGCTTCTGGAGAGCGTTTGTAGGAGGAGTACCGTCAGTCTAGACGAGTCGGAGTTCATAGTCGATTTGATAGTGTTGCGTATGTCCGAGTTCGGTGTCATCCTTGGTATGGATTGGTTGTCTTCCTACCATATTAGTATTGACTGTTTTGCTAAGACAGTCAAGTTGCGAGCGTCCGACGGGTCCGAGATGATTGTAGCCGCCTCTCAGGGCAACCGACTTGCGGAGTCATTTCTGGCGTACATCGAGGAGGTGATGCGACGGGATCAGGGTGCTGAGTTATTGGAGACTAGAGTTGTCTCAGAGTATCAGGATGTCTTTCAGGACATACCTGGACTACCTCCGGTGAGAGAGGTGGAGTTTTGTATTGAATTGCAGCCTGGCACAGCCCCGATATCCCGCGCACCCTATCGTATGGCACCAGCTGAGATGAGAGAGCTTCAGACCCAGTTGGACGAGTTATTAGCTCAGGGTTTTATTCGCTGGAGTTATTCTCCGTGGGGCGCGCCGGTCCTCTTCGTGAAGAAGAAGGATGGTAGTATGAGATTATGTATAGATTATCGAGAGTTGAACAAGGTCACTATCCGGAATAGGTACCCACTACCTAGGATTGATGACTTGTTTGACCAGTTACAGGGTGCGCAGTATTTCTCGAAGATTGATCTTCGTTCTGGCTATCATCAGTTGCGGGTTCGGGAGATGGATATTCCCAAGACCGCCTTTCTTACTCGATATGGTTCTTTCGAGTTCTTGGTCATGCCATTTGGGTTGACCAATGCACCCGTGGTATTCATGGACTTGATGAACCGGGTGTTCCGTCCCTTCTTAGATCAGTTCGTGATCGTTTTCATCGATGATATTCTCATTTACTCGAGATCGGAGGCGGATCATGAGGAGCATCTACGGATAGCATTGAAGACTCTTCAGGAGCATCAGTTGTATTCTAAGTTCAGCAAGTGCGAGTTTTGGCTTTCAGAAGTCAGATTTCTTGGCCATGTCATCAGTCGAGAGGGTATAGCAGTGGACCCGGCTAAGGTCACGGCAGTCCTTGATTGGGAACCACCGAAGACGGTGGATAGAGATTCGCAGCTTTTTAGGCTTAGCTGGATATTATAGGAAGTTCATTCAGGACTTCTCGAAGATTTCGACGCCTATTACACACCTTACGAAGAAGGGTGTACAGTTCATATGGAGCATGGAATGCCAGAAGGCCTTTGATATTCTGAAGACTAAGTTGACTACAGCGCCAGTTTTGACTATTCCGAGCAGCGACAGGACATTTGTTGTATATACAGATGCATCATTGGCAGGCTTAGGAGGCGTATTGATGCAGACTCAGAGGGTAGTGGCCTATATCTCACGGCAGTTAAGGGTGCATGAGCAGAACTACCCCACTCATGACTTGGAGTTAGCAGCAGTGGTGTTTGCACTGAAGTCATGGAGGCACTACTTGTATGGAGTGCAGTTTGACTTATTCACAGACCATCAAAGTCTGAAGTGTAGGGTCCTGTTTTTTCTTATGTATACCAAGTGTAGGATCATGACCCTTAAGAATAGAGTACGCTCTTATAAAAATCTGCGGAAGCTTTACACTTAAACACTGGAGTGTGAGTTTGCAAAGTAGATTATAAATTGCAACGAAAGAATGGCAATCTCAGAAAATAAACATCACAAACACAAGCATGTATACTGGTTCCACCTCCCCGGTGTACATCCAGTCCCCAAGCAAATCTCGCTTGAGATTTCCACTATGATTTTGAAACCTTACAAACAAGCAAATCTCGCTTGAGATTTCCACTATGATTTTGAAACCTTACAAAATCAAAAGCAAACCTGACCAACTATGATTTTTAGGCTCACAGTGAACCAGTATGGTTGCAAACAGGCGGCGAAGGGTTGCTAGCATTTGAAAGATGACGACTTCATCTAAGCATTCTCTGATGTTATTATCTGATTCCAATAAACCTAATTTTTTAGCTGAATGTTTGAATGATGTGCATTGAATTCCATCCACGGTCAATAGATTCTCAAATGAGGTGGGGCATTTGATGTGAGTAAGTAAAAGGCGTAAGTAATTTCTTTCCCCTTCAATTGGATTAGCACCATTTATACGACCTATCACCTGTCTCTGTTTTCTTGGACTCTAACATTTTGTTGTCGAATCCCAAACATAATAATCGGGAAGTTCACAATATAATAACTCCTTTTCTTGATTCTTTTTTTGTTTTGATTTGTCGGCTTCTTTAATTTTTGAACATAGTGTAAAAAATTCTGTAAGCATCGTCTTGTGGACATGGTCCCAGCGGATAAGCTTCGATAGGTCTTGATTTTTCCAATAGGAAACAAACTGTTGATTTGGCAAGTGTAGTTGTAAGTTGATGACAGCTGGGTAGATCTCATTAAGATAGAATTCATATATTCTCCACAAAGCTTCTTGAGCTGATACCCATCTTGCATCTTGAAAATTTTTGGTTTCATTCACAAGTCTTCCTCCTTCATTATATTCAATGTTTACTGCCACTTTATCATGACCTTTATATATGTATTTGTAAAGATACTTCACTGCTTTAATGCCTAAGCATATTTCAACATTAATGTGACAATTATAACATGTCAGCAAATATGGATTGTAAGGTACAACCCACTGATTATTAAGGATTTTATTGCGGAGCAACATTGTTTTATTATCATTCCTTCTCTTATAAATTGGGTAAGCATCTTTTGCTTGAATTGATTGTGAGCTAAAATCGCGAGGATAGTGATATTTGCATTCTCCATTTTGCATGCAACTGTTCTTCATGTTCAACTCTCCACAAGGTCCGTGCATCATATGTTTTTTTACCAATTCATAGAGGATCGGGTGTTTGGATTGGTCTGGAATTTCTGCAGATACATATTTATCATACTGATCTGATAATGTGATCTTGTGATCTCCAATAAGAATTATTAATATATGTGCATGTGGTAGCCCTCTTTTTTGAAACTCAATCACATGAACATGTGCTACAACTTTCCCGAAGATCTCCTTCTTAAATAATTGATCTTTCAAGTCTTGGAGCTTTGCTCGAAATATCCTTGAGGTTAGGTCTGGCCTGTCATTATGGCTTTGGCCTGGATGTAGTTGCTCAATGATCTCTTCCCATTCTGGATTACATGTCATTGTTATAAAAAGATCTGGCTTTCCAAATCGTTGTACTAATGACATTGCATCAAGGTATCTGCGACGCATGTCTCTAGGACCACCTATGAATGATGATGGAAGAACTATTCTTTTGCCCACTTGGCTTGCATTTGCTTCTCCAGCAGCTACACTGTCGACAATGCCTTGGAATAACTCTGCTCTGATTTCTGATTGTTTATTTCTAAAGTAATCAAGCCTTGTTGTTTCAAGCTTTATGTACATATCAACAACATATTGATGGAATAAACGACCTGCTGATGTAAGTATAAAAGATTGCCGTGTGTCTCTTATCTGGAGCTTATGACAATAATAATCTCGGCAAGAGATTTTTCCGGGTTTTGGTGCCTTGACGCCTGTAAATTTAGGCGTTAAACTATGTTCATATATAATAATATTACTTAGAAATGTGAATTAAAATTTACCTTCACTTTCTCGGTTAAATATGTCTTCTGTAGATGTGAAGGTAGGTGGAGATATTGAAGTTGGTATTATAGTTCTTTGTTGATTGGCAGCTCTGATATCCCTTTTATCCCTTCTTTTAATATTTTGATGCTATCCAACCTCTCCATTTGGAAAGAGTAAGGGATACTGCAGTGGATCATAACAGCCAAAATAGTGTTTCACTTGATGTTTTCCTCCTGAGTGTGCATGGACAATAATATCTCTCTCAAATGGTGCATTGTCATTATTTCCTTCAACCCAGATTGCAGCCACCTGATCTGCTGTTGGTGAGTTGTAAACACGTTGATCTAGTGCAACGTCACTATTTATTAGTATCTTTAATTCTTCAAAAGATTGATAATTATTCAATTTGCGAAGGAACTTTGCATATGAGTTTCCTTGTAATATATCCATCAAGCTCTTAGTTGTGCTTTCACTCATATTTGCATTGTCTAGAATTCCCAATCGATTTTGCAACTTATTCTCCGTATCATAGAAGTAAAGCTGAAAGTATGAAGGCTTATTTTCCTTTGGAATTAGAGCCGGGAGATTATGATATATTTGTCTTTGTGCTCTAAATGTGAAAACTCCTTTCCTATTTGATGCGAGCTCTTTATCAAATCTTGCCCCAAACGATGTGAATGAGAAAATACTATTGTACATTCTGGTGTGGCTTCGGAACTTAATTGCCTCTGGTGTATGCATTGTATAAAGGGCAAATAATTCATTTAGAATATTCACATCTGCTAGGTGGATTTCACCATTGTGACAACAAAAAGTTGGAGGCTCATGTTCAAACTTTTTGGATCCACAATATGCACAAGACTTTGGAGTGCGTAGCTTATATAGTAAAGAACATACCGGTTCATGAAGTATTTGCCCTAGAACAAATATAAATAATTAATAAACTAATATATAATGTTATATGGCTCTTTTAATAAACTATAAAGTATATCTACACTAACCTTCATGCTCATAGGCCAGTAGAAGGGCTCCACAAAATAGGTCAACTTTACGTTGTCGTTTGTCATTAATAGTATTACCAGAAGAGTCATTACTGTGTCGCTTTCTCTTATTATCCGCACTTCTCTGAATGTAAGATTTCTTTTGCTCATCACTCAACCAAGAATATTTTGTTTTTTCAATTCTGGGTATTGGAGTGGTCTCTTCTGTTTAAAAAAAATGTTTATGTATTATTATAAATACATACACTTATACTAATATAAAAATATATGAATAATTTTTTATTGAGTTCAATGCAAACCTTGGCTTGAAGCCATTTTAGGCAATAAAGTGTTGTATAGTAGTTATGTTATCCAAACCCCAGAGAATTAATTTCTACAAAAGAAAATAATATGTCATATTACCATTAATTTATGAATATATATGAGCAATGTAGATAGTTAGACAAATTAGTGTAAATTTTCATAAAAATTCAAAAGTAAACGATCAACTATAATCACTATCACAATTAAAATAAAAAAAACATTGATATTCAATACTAACCTGATACTCGTAATTTTGGAATAAATCTTGAGTGCAAAATTGGAATTGAGATGATATTATCCTATAGGTAAAAAATATGTGTCAGAAAATGAAAAACCATATGAAAATTATATCAACAACAAAAGGGGAAAAATATACTTTAAAATTATAATTCAACTTAATCAAGGGAGTTTAGAATAAATTAGTCAACTATTCTTTGTACACAATAATTTTGATGGTACTAAGTAAATAATCAAACAACATGCATTTTTTAAACAATTGTAATAAGTCAAATTTTATTCAAAAATAAAGAGAATAAGTAAAATTAAGACGAGCTTATATTGAACTTTACTAATAAAAAAAAACTATAAGTAAAAGTAATTTGTTGAGCTCTATATATTTCAAGGGGTATTAGGATAGGATATAAGTATGATTAGGATATGTTATAATTTAAATTAAACATTTAAAATAGTACATAGTAATTTTAACTATAGAAAGCTTTTTCTAACTTGTGCTTTTAAAGGGAGTATGATTTTTTTTCTTAATTTTTCTTTTTTATAATTTTGAGAATAAAATTTTGATATAAATTATATGTTCATTATTTTAAAATTATTGAAGATATAGCCTGGCCAAAGAATGCTGATTGGATCCATAAACTTAGCATCGACTATGATTTGCCTGCAGAGATTGACGTAGCTTGATTATGTGATTTAACTTAGCATAAACATGTATCTTTCTTTTCTGTAATGAATTTTTCTGCTTTGCATCCAATAAGAGTTTCTGCTGCGTTAAATAATTTATAATACTAATTTAATAATATATTAATTATATTATTAATATATATAATTATAATAAATAATATATATTAATATATACCATAATATATTTTTAAATTATACCATAATAATTATACCATAAAATCTAGCTATTACTATTAACACACGTGTATTTAAATTTTTTAGCTTATTGTTTACTATTATCACACTGATATTATGTTTTTCCACTTGAAATTGATAAATTTGTTTAAAATGATAATCACACCCTATTTTGCTTTTGCAATAACTTTTCGGTGTTAACAATATTATGGGAATAATGTTGGTCTTGAAAGTGGAGACCCAAACCTAGAATCAAAATCAACAATAGCATAAAAATTCAAGACAGACCATGGGTGTGGTCTGCACCACACCAGGGTGTGGCAGAATCTGTCCTGTCTGCCATGAGTGTGGTCTGCGCCACACCAGGATGTGGCAGAGTCTGCCCTGTCTGCCATGGGTGTGGTCTGCGCCACACCAGGGTGTGGACTGTTCTGTCTGCCATGGGTGTGGTCTGTGCCACACCAGGGTGTGGCAGACTCGTTTTAGAATCCTAATCTGTTTGGGATTGTGTTTTGTTATAAATAGAAACACGTCCCTTTAGGGTTTAAGAGAGAAAAAGAGCACGAAAAAAGAGGGTTTTGAGGGCTCTTTGAGGTTAGAAATCTTAGAGAGAGAGAGGCCAATTGCAAGCATTGTAATCTTCTTCAAGTAATCAAAGAATTGTGTGGTGTGGCTCCCGAGGACGTAGGCACGTTGCCGAACCTCGTTAAATCTGGTGTGTTCTTTCTTGTTTACTTTCCTACAAGCTTTTTATCTTTGATTTGTGGTGAATTTCCTTCTTGCTCAACTCTCAAACACAAGATCCGGAAGGGTACGGATTTGATTTGATTATTTCGAATCCCCAACAACTGGTATCAGAGTTTCGTTCAGCAATTTGTGTGAAAGAGAGCCATGGCAGAGGAAATCAAATCAAAGATTGAGAAGTTTGACGGTTCAGACTTCGCCTACTGGAAGTCACAGATGGAGGACTACCTGTACCAGAAAGACTTGTATCGCCCGTTGATGGGCAAGGAAAAGGGAAAGAAGAAGGAGGAGTCAGATGGTGATTGGGAGATACTAGATAGGAAGGCTCTAGGGCAAATCCGGTTGTCGCTCGCTAAATCAGTAGCCCATAATATTCTGAAGGAGAAGACGACGGTGGGGCTTATAGAAGCGCTCGCGAAGATGTACGAGCAACCTCGGCAGCAAACAAGGTGCATCTAGTCAAAACTCTCTTGAACCTCAAGATGGCAGAAGGACGGTCCTTCACGATGCATCTCAGCTAGTTCAACACAATTGTTGATCAGCTTATCCTCCGTGGACATCACGTTTGATGACGAAGTGCAAGCCCTATTGATTCTATCGCAGTTGCCGGATAGTTGGGCAGGTTGTGTGACGGCAATCAGTAATTCAACAGGGAAGGAGAAGTTAAAGCTGAGTGAGGTTGTTAGCATGATTCTATCCGAGGAGGTTAGAAGGAAATCGTCTGAATCAAAAGGTTCAGGTTCAACTCTAAGTTTCGAGCAGAGAGGCAGAAGTCAGAAGAAAGGAAACCAGAACAGGAATCGGTCAAAATCAATAAAGAAGAGGTCGAACTCGAATGTTAGGCCTATCAAAAGAAAGTGTTGGAACTGTGGCCAGGAGGGCCATATGTCTTCGGTCTGTAAAGCACCAAAGAAGGATACGGGTGAGTAGGAGGCTCATATCGTGCAGGATGCCTTGATCCTTGCTATGGATAGCGATTCTGATTCTTGGGTCATCGACTCAGGAGCTTCTTTCCACGCCACTGCTAATAGGAAACTACTTCAGAACTATGTAGCAGGGGACTTTGGTAAAGTATACTTGGGGGACAATGAACCTTGCAATATTATTGGAAAGGGCGACGTTCAGATACAGATAAAGGGCTCTAAGTGGAATTTAAAGAATGTGAGACACGTGCCAAAGCTGAAGAGGAATCTTGTTTCGGTGGGACAGCTTGGAGCAGAAGGCTACGTTTCGACATTCACCGGGGATTCGTGGAGAATCTCCAACGGTACGATGGTTGTTGCCCGAGGTAATAAAATAGGAACTCTCTACCTCACTTCACATGCGAGTGACACCCTCGCAATTGCAGCTGGCAAGGAGAGTACAAATCTGTGGCACAATAGGCTGGGACACATGAGCGAGAAGGGGATGAAAATCCTACATTCACAAGGAAAGCTAACCGGGATCGACGTCGTGGAAGTCGGGGTTTGTGAAGACTGCATTTTTGGGAAGCAGAAGAGGGTTAGTTTCCAGAAGGGTGGAAGGCCACCTAAGGCTCAGAAGCTAGAGTTGATTCATACAGATGTATGGGGTCCAGCCAGTGTGTCTTCTTTTGGCGGTTCGCGATACTACGCCACCTTTATCGACGATCACTCGAGGAAGGTGTGGGTTTACTTCATGAAGCACAAGTCAGAGGTGTTCGAAATCTTCAAGAAGTGGAAGGCCATGGTCGAGAACGAGACAGATCTGAAGGTGAAGTGCTTGAGATCAGATAATGGTGGAGAATACGAGCTGGAGGAGTTCAAGAGGTTCTGTGCTATGAATGAGATTTGCTTAGAGAGGACTACTCTAGGGACGCCGCAGCAGAACGCCATTGCAGAGAGGATGAACAGGACCTTGACAGAGCATGCGTGGAGCATGCGATTACATGCAGGTCTGCCTAAGACATTTTGGGCGGATATGGTGCATACGGCAGCATACCTTATTAATTACGGGCCATCAGTTCCATTAGATTTTGGGATTCCAGAGGAGGTTTGGAGTGGAAAGAAGATAAATCTTTCACGCTTGCGGGTATTTGGTTGCGTGGCTTATGTTCATATCAGTGACCATGTCAGGGACAAACTAGAAGCTAAGTCACAGAAATGCACATTCATTGGATACGGCATTGATGAGTTCGGGTATCGCCTTTGGGATGAGAAGAACAAGAAGATCATCAGGAGCCGGGATGTGATATTCAATGAGGAGGTGATGTACAAGGACAGGGATAATGCCAAGGATAGCCAAAGCAGTGGGAGCAGCACTACGGATACAGGTGGATCCAAGTACATGGATATAGAGGAACTTCCAGATAGGGGTGATGGTGTTTGTTCTGACCGTAGAACGGAGGAGGCTCCAGGTGCAGAAGAAACTACCCAGGGCGTGGAGCTTAGGAGGTCATCCAGGGTACCCAAACCAAATCCCAGATATCTTTCATCTCTTGACTATTTATTATTGACAGATTGCGGTGAGCCGGAAAGCTATGAAGAGGCAAAGCAAGTGAGTGAATCTCAGCAGTGGGAGCATGCGATGCAGGAGGAGATTGATTCTCTACTCACTAATGAAACATGGGAGTTAGCCTAACTACCTGCACAGAAGAAAGCCTTGCACAATAAATGGGTCTACCGGGTCAAGCAGGAGAGTGATGGAAGCAAGAGATTCAAGGCCAGATTAGTAGTGAAGGGGTTTCAACAGCGGGAAGGAGTGGACTACACGGAGATATTTTCCCCTGTTGTGAAACTCACAACCATTAGAATAGTGTTGAGTTTGGTGGCTGCAGAAGACCTCTTTCTTGAGCAGTTAGATGTGAAGACTGCATTTCTTCATGGTGACTTGGATGAAGAAATCTATATGAAGCAGCCTGTTGGCTTCATTGAAGAAGGAAAGGAAGAGATGGTGTGCAAGCTCAAAAAGAGCTTATATGGTTTGAAACAGGCTCCGAGACAGTGGTATAAAAAGTTTTATAACTTCATGCAGAACAATGACTACAGAAGATGCAATTCGGATCATTGCTGTTATTTTAAAAGGTTCGAGACCAGCTTCATTATTTTGTTATTATATGTTGATGACATGTTGGTAGCAGGACCATGTTTAGAGGAGATAAATTATTATATGTTGATGACATGTTGGTAGCAGGACCATGTTTAGAGGAGATAAACAGTTTGAAGAAGCAGCTAGCAAAGAACAGTTTGAAGAAGCAGCTAGCAAAGGAATTTGCAATGAAGGATCTGGGTGCAGCGAAGCAGATTCTAAGGATGCGAATCAGTAGGGATAAAGCTGAAGGGACATTGAGATTGAGCCAAGCTGAATACATTAAGAAGGTACTTCAGAGGTTCAACATGCATAATGCTAAAGCTGTTAGCACACCCCTTGGAAGTCAGTTCAAGCTATCTGAGGAGTAAACGCCTAAGACAGATGCAAATAGAGAGCATATGAGCAGGGTGCCATATTCTTCGGCCATTGGGAGTCTCATGTACGCGATGGTTTGCATGAGGCCGGACATCGCCCATGCAGTGGGAGTTGTGAGCAGATTTGCAAGCAATCCAGGGAAGCAGCATTGTGAGGCCGTGAAGTGGATAATGCGGTACTTGAGAGGGATAACGAACAAGCCATTATGTTTCAAGAGGAAGGATTTGGTACTGTAAGGATACGTGGATGCGGACTTCGTCGGTGATCATGATACGAGGCGAAGCACCACGGGGTATGTTTATACCTTAGCGTCGACAGCAGTGAGCTGGGTCTCACGTCTGCAGAAGATTGTGACTTTGTCTACAACCGAGGCTGAGTATGTTGCGGTGACTGAAGCAAGCAAGGAGATGATCTGGTTGAACGGGTACTTGGAAGAGTTGGATCTGAAGCAATAGAGAGGAGTTCTTTATTGTGATAGCCAGAGCGCTATACATCTTGCTAAGAATCCAGTATATCATGCCAGAACGAAGCACATCGACGTCAAATATCATTTTATATGCTTGCTAGTTGAAGACGGAAAGTTGTATTTGATAAAGATTTTGGGGAGTCAAAATCCGACGAACATGTTGACAAAGACAGTCACCATTGAGAAACTAAAGTTGTGCGTAACTTCAGTTGGCCTTCACGAGTAGAAGACGAAGGCGGAGCCACACTACGAGGATCGACGAGATCGCCGGGATGTTAATGATTGAAGAATGAATTTTTTCAAGTAGGAGAAGATGCTTGCGAGAAGGCGGAGTTCGGGAGAGCTCATTGATGGTGGTTTGATCTCCAAGTGGGAGATTGTTGGTCTTGAAAGTGGAGACCCAAACCTAGAATCAAAATCAACAATAACATGAAAATTCAAGACAGACCATGGGTGTGGTCTGCACCACACCAGGGTGTGGCAGAGTCTGCCCTGTCTGCCATGGGTGTGATCTGCACCACACCAGGGTGTGGCAGACTCGTTTTAGAATCCTAATCTGTTTGGGATTGTGTTTTGTTATAAATAGAAATACGTCCTTTTAGGGTTTAAGAGAGAAAAAGAGCACGAAAAAAAAGAGAGTTTTGAGGGCTCTTTGAGGTTAGAAATCTTAGAGAGAGAGAGGCCAATTGCAAGCATTGTAATCTTCTTCAAGTAATCAAAGAATTGTGTGGTGTGGCTCCCGAGGACGTAGGCACGTTGCCGAACCTCGTTAAATCTGGTGTGTTCTTTCTTGTTTACTTTCCTACAAGTTTTTATCTTTGATTTGTGGTGAATTTCCTTCTTGCTCAACTCTCAAACACAAGATCCGGAATGGTACGAATTTGATTTGATTATTTCGAATCCCCAACAAATAACACACCCTATGTTGTGGAAGACACAGAATTCCAAACACATCTCATAACAATGATAATCACAAATGTGCAGAGAGGTAACAGGTTTGAAATAAGTTGTACATTCTCAGGCATTAGTCTTTTTTTAAAATTTGAAGGGAGATGTGAGAATTATTATCATAAGGAATATTCAATCTCCAAATCCTCATCTCACGCATCATGTATAGAAACTTTCCTGAAACAAAATCCCAAAATTCAGAATAATAAAGAAGGGTTAAGATTTAAGGCATGCCAACACACTGATTCAAGAGTCATCAATCTTTTGATACATCATTAATGTAATATACATAAACGACTATATATTTTATCATTAAGAATGATGATTGAACTTTGGATTTGGATGGCTAGGCGAGGGTTGCGCCGGATACGATAGAGGGGCTGCTGGAGTATTTTCTTGACACCGATGCAAGGGAGCTCGAGTTTGAGATCTCCAGGTTGAGACAAAGGTAATATTGAATGCAGAATGACACATTTTCTCATTTGAAGTGAATGTTAGCTAATGGAAGAAAGAACTATTGAGATGATATGTTTTCCCTCTGTTTTTGACTGGTCTATGTGATAAAATTCTGATGAAATGTTCTAATTTTCTTGCTTCAGTTCATCGTTCATCATACTGCAGTCTTATGTGCTAACTGAAGTTATATTACTTCTAGTCTTCTATAGTACGTTAGTTTTTATTTCTTTAAACTATTTTGTTGTATGCTTTTGCAGATTAACCAAAGAATTCTTTGACCATATAAAGCTCGAACTTGGACAGCTGCGATTTGCTGTGAATAGAACACAGGTTTCAACTCGAGACCCAAAAACACTTGAATGAAAACTAATTATTACTTATTAGAAAATAAAACTATCTGATTGCTTTCAGTAATGTATATTTTGAACTAATATTTTTTTGAAGGAGATGGAAGATAGAATGATTGAACTGGAGTCAATACAAAAGGTGCTGTTGGAAGGAAAAGGTTTGTGACCGTCATATCGATATATAATGGTCAATATTTTTGAATCACAAAAACCTACTCTGTTATTTGAAAGAACTTTCCATTATACCGTAACTATGTAGTCATAAGTATTGAATTTCAGTTTTATATTCTTACATTATGTCTTTCCCTCCCTCTCGCAAAATGAATTGAACAGATCGGTATTGGCCCTTCTCGATGAAAACATAGCAAGCGCAATCGAGAACAATCAGGTTAGTGCATTTGCTTAGAAAATGATTTGAATTCATTTTATGTTCATATCGGGTGTGTCATAGTTCCTGTATTCAACATGTCTATGGATGAGAAGTATAGATAACTCTAATCCGTTATTTAACTCTAATCGGTATGTACACCCTCAACGTTTATAACATGTATAGATAAGGAGATGAATTTACTGTCGACAATTTTTTTTTAATTTTTTTTAAACATGATGTATCTAATCGGATAAATAACTAATTTTTTTTTAAACATGATGTATCTAATCGGATAAATAACTCTAATCGGTTATTTTGTTAATTCTAAATAGTTAGAGTTGTTTATCCGATTAGATTAATTTAGATTGAAGTTAAGTTAACCATTAGCAAACCTTTTTTTAATCATTAGCAAACCTTTTTTTTAAACATGATGTATCTAATCGGAGAAATAACTCTAATCGGTTATTTTGTTAATTCTAAAATAAGAGCATCTTTTCCCATCATTAAAATTAAATTTGAAAATTAGAATTTGATTATAGATAAGGTAGTTCAAACTATAAAGGGATATATTTGTCTAAAAAAGATTTTCCAAACTCGTGCTTTTAAAGGGAGTATGATTCTTTTATTTTAAATAAATCAATATATCAACAACATACAAAATAATAATATGCCACATCATACTCTATTATTATGTCGCTATAGGCTCTTTATCTAAACCTCTTTGAGTTCTCTACTTTTCTCAGACAAAATTTCTACATAAATATTCTTTTTGTGATATTCTTATTCTCTTATACCATTTTGCCCATAAAACCAAATATTCTTTTAATTTTATAACAAGAAAAAAAAGCAAAATTTCTCATTTTTCTTCTTTTCCCTATAATTTCGTTATTTAAACCCATTTGCTTCTCTGTAACGGCAGAATCGAACCCGCTCACAGTCCTCTCTCTCATACCAAAAAAAAAAATCTAGTGCAAGGGTTTTTCGAAAAACCAAAAAGATCGAATTTTTATCGCTTTTAGGGTTTCTTTGGCCATGCCGTTCTTAGTTCGCGAGGGTCTCTTCTTCGGCAACATCACCGACGCCGCTCAAACCCTAACATCGCCATCAAACTCGTCAGGGATCACTCACATCCTCTCTCTTCTAAGCTCAGCTTCGATCTCCTTCTTCAGCGATTGGAAGCCCGATATCAAGATCCCAACTGAAGAGATCAAGAAGGTTTACGTCGGCGAGATCGATGGCGAGGGTAAGCGATCGCTGTCGCCGGAGAAGCTGTTTTATTCATTGGAGATGGCGGGAGTTGATTTGAAGTTGAAGAGGATGGCGGTGCCGTTGAGGGATACTGAGGATGAGGATTTGTTGGATTATTTGGATATTTGTTTGGATTTTATTGATGAGGGGAGGAAGGAAGGGGGTGTTTTGGTTCATTGCTTCGCTGGAGTTTCGAGAAGGTATCAAGATTTCGTTTCAAAATTTCTAATTTTGGTACTTGTGAATGAAATTTTGCTAGAGGCAGGAATAGAGTGAATCATTTATTGGGTATATTGAAATTATCAATTTTCGTATTTGTTTCCTTCGGGGAAAATTGCCCATAACCTCATCTATACTTTCGATTAGTTTTAGTAGCACAGTTCACCTCCGAATTCTCATTTTGAGAAGGATAAATTACAGATAACCCCTCCCCCCTTATGAATCGAGGGGGTGCTATAGATGCTATTAAAGTTGTTGAGGAGTGATAAGTGCTAATGGAGATATACATCAGGGGGTTCTCTGCAATTTACCTTTTCCTTGGTAAGCAATTTCATCTTGCGTCCTGGAACGAGTCTGTTTGGTAGAACTAAATTTATGAATGAAATACGATCTCTGGTAGTATCCTACTGGATTAGACCATATACATGGGGATAAACTTAGATATAACCATTATTTAAGATTAAGTATCTGAGAAAAAAAATATAGGAAATCACTCACTTGACTTATCATTAGTTGTGCTTTCAGATAAGGAATGGATTTTCATCTAAGTCTGCTAAAAATTGTTCCTGACAAAAAAGAGGGACTTTATCAACCAAGGAAAACAAGTCCTTTAACCAGTCCCAAGAATTTGAGACAAATAGTAAATTGTTTGTTATTGTTGTTTTAGATTTAGAAAATGTTGTAGCACACTGGATATTTGTCAGATAGTTCAATCCTGTGTATATGAGAGATAATGTACCCCTCTGTGCTCCTGTCCGAACAACATATTCGTGTTAGTATTTGAACAGGCATATTCCCTTCAGGTTGTTTTTAGTAGTTTACACCCCGTGTAAGCTCTCTTCTTCAAGCCTATTTAGCTATTTGACTCCTATACATATTCATGTTTGTATTTAACAGAGGATAGCAGATTTCTTACCTGTTAAAACAAAAACGGAGTCCGTTTCACATTGAATTGTTTCTGTTTGCTTATATTCTTGTATTCATATCTGCCAAAAATGGATACAGGTGATACCTTTCTATATCTTGTTGACTTGGATACAAAAGACTATAGAACAATGGGTTACTTGAATGCATATAAACAAGTCTTTAACTAGCTGATATTCTTTTATTAGACTCATTGAAGGCCTGTTGATGCACATAAGCCTCTTCACTAGCATCTCCACAGTTCACAATAAATTTATTTTATTCAATGTGATGTACCTTTATGTGACAAAAAATTGTTCGCATGATGCTCTTACCTTACAAATACATAACATATGTTTATACACTTATGCTTTTTAGTTAATGAATCTCAAATCTCTTATTTGACAATAGTCTTAAGGAATTGTTGAATCGAAGGAAAAAAGCTCTCTTCTTATATCTTGGGTGCGAAGGCTGTCCAATTGAACAGGGATAAGAAGCAGCCCATACCTTTCCAAAACTTGGAGTAGACCTTCTTCTGGGGAATACTTTTATGGTTACCGTAATTTGTTGATAAAATTGTGTGAAACTTTTGATATATGCTTAGTCAGAATGCAGAGGTTAGATTTTTGCTTCTGATGATCATAACTGGAAACATCATTTTGCAGGTTGTCTGTGCTAGCATTACAATAGTTTTTCTATATTCTGCTGAAAATCTAGTGAATTTTCCCAAGATCTATTCTTTTGATTATCTACCCCTGTTTACACCTTTTTTTTTGCATTTCTCTATTTGTTGCAGTGCTGCTATCGTTACGGCTTATCTAATGAGAACAGAAAAGAAGTCTCAAGAAGGTTCGGACAAATCCTTTTTTGTTTGATTTGACTTTACCATATGGATATAAACTATTGTTGGCTTCTTGGCTTGATAAGTATGTTACATTGCAAATGCTATTTCCGTTAGCTTCATGGGAAGTTTTTTTTGCTTATGTTCCTCTTAAATGAAGCTGAAGTTTTCTTATTGCAGATGCACTTGAATCCCTTAGGGATATATATGAATCTGTATGTCCGAATGATGGCTTCCTTGAGCAGGTGGAATAAAGTTTACATAGTGACATGGTAACATGTTAAACTATGTAAAACAGAAATCTTGATTACATGATCTTTTCGTAATTGCAGTTAAAATTGTTTGAGGATTTGGGTTTCAAAGTTGATACTTCCAGCCCATTGTATAAACGCTTTCGGTTGAAAGTATTAGGTGAGTTTTCATTGCATCTTAAGTACTCTGGCTCTCTGGATGTATGGTTATTTTAATATTTTAGTAGTTATATACATATGGACTCACATATATGTGTGTGTGCATGTGTACACACGCACCAGCGCA